TTTTGTAACACTGAACAGCAACATCTTGTGATGTCATGGCTAATCAATGAACTAATATACTTTCAGATGCCTCGTGGACGATCTTACCGCCGATCTCAGGCAGCCAAGAGGATTGCAGAGATGCGTCGTCCCTTGGAAATGAACCCTCAAAGACCCTCTGTTTCTTCTGGTATGTTGGCAACTGCTTTAATTGCTGTTCTATGTGTAAGCTGTATTTTCTTTTTACATGTCTGGAATGTGCACTGTTGTGTTTAAATGGATTATGTAGTATGATGTTTCATAGTGTTTATTTTGTTTTCCTTGTCTATTCAATAGTTGATGGAACGGGATTTCGCAATCCAGCGAAGAAGTGGCCAACTTACACCTTGACCGGGAAGCAGCACAAGATGGTCTTTCTAGATCACTCTCCAGACAATAAGGTATATTTGTGCTGACAAATTATCAAGAAAGTTGTTGATTTCTGTAAGATTATTTGTTTGTCATTCTAAAAATGTCATTTTGTGCTTAGTTTGTCCTTCTTGTAGGCGACTCACATCTGCGAGGCATTGCAGATGGTTTTGTGGAGATGCCAGCAGTATTTTCTTATGGTGTGATGTCTACGCCGGGGGCCGCTGCAAAGGACTTGCGGACTGAGGTGCTGAATGCTGTGTTGGATCGTACTCCTGATGTTGTCTGTGTTTTGGCCCCATCCAACAACCTCACTTCTAGTCGAACCGTCATCGAGGCTGGTGAAGAGTTCGCCCTGCTCCTTGGTAGTGTTTGCGAGAAATGGGATGAGGTAAGATATATTTTCTACCAGAAATGATGTTGGTGTAGAAGTTGTGAGGTTGGGTATAGTGTTTGGATAAAATAACTTATGAACATCTATTGTTTATTTTTAGGTGGTGGTGGTGGATTTTCCTCCAGGGCTTAACGTACCGGTGGATGTGCAGGAGCACCTGCGAAATCAGTACCGTCTTAAGGCTGCATCTGCAGGTGTGTTTCATGAAATGTCACTTATGAAAAGTTACATGTTTACCAGTTAATATATGCCATGCCATTTTGATTTTCTATAATTTATTTTGTTTATTTGATTTGCATAAATCACGATTCATATATACACATTAACAAAATGAACTTCCATTACAATCATATTGTGTTAGTAAATGGAATCAATGTAAAGGCAATGTCTTCCTAAAAGTCATGATGGTAGAAATATCAGAAAAGAGATCACATCTGTGCACTGCATAATTGTTTTGTCTACATCTTGTTTTCTGTCAAAAAAGACTGTTGAAAATCATTTAGGCCTTTTTAGTAAATCTGGCTTTTTCTTCTCACGTTAAGGTGTCCGGTACTAGTCTGTTGCTGAGCAGTTTTCTATGAACGACCTTCAGCTGTGGTACAAAGACAGCGTAAGTAAAATAGGTTGACATGTGCAGAAGTGTGATGTATTGTTGTTTATAGATTATAGCAATCAATGTATGGCAGATTTATATTGATTTGTAGGTTATGTGTTAAGTCATTTCTCTATTATTGCTTTGTAGGTGCATTTGAGTGACTCTGACGGGATGCCCATCTTGGCAAAGGCGTTCTTTTCTGCTGCACATGACCACCTGCTGAGCAAGGTGCTGGATCCTGTTTCTACCAAGAAGCCAGATGTTTCTCCAAAGACATCGCCTCCTGCTCGCAGGATCTCGCCGAAGGTGGTCGTGAAGGGAGAGGTCCGCCGCGTGCCACGCCGACCAGGCCCTTCTGAGTGGACATTTGTTGGATGTGGCAAGAAGGTAAATGATTGCAGACTGTAATTTTGTAGCTGATTGTGCAGACACGTGTATAGCGTTAACATGGTAGCATGTAATGGTCAAAGGAGACACGTGTGTTTAATGTAAGGAATGCTATTGTCATTACAGAGACATCATTTGGGGAAACCAGAGCAGTCTTGCAGTGCACCCAAAAGGAGGCTTGTTCATCAGCAGGTTTGTCAGGTTTCATTTATTTGCTGAAAAACACGGAAATATTTATGATCATAATTGTATGGATAGCGTTTGTGTAGCAGGGTGTCCATAACATTTTTTCTGCTGTATATTTCAGGTTGTCAAAGAATGTTCTGTAATTAAATGTTGCGTTTAAAAACACTGATGCACCAGTGTCTACAGCTGTTGGTGCGTTAGGCACTCCGTGTAAAAATCACAAAATTGTGGCTGATGGTAACTGTTTCTTTAGAGCAGTCTCCCAAGCTGTGAGTGGCTCAGAAAGGCACCACGGACAAGTGAGGTTTGCTGTTGTTAGGCATTTACAAAGCAATGCAATGACATATAAGAATATGTTAAGAGATGCATATTCGTCAGTGGCAGAGTACATAAGTACTTTAAAGATGCATAAGCTTGGTAGTTGGGCAACTGAGGTTGAAATTCAAGCGGCAGCCAATGTTTTAGGTGTCAATATTTTCACATATGTTCAAGACAGATGGTTAGAATATAGTTGCAGGAATAACTGTTTCTCAAACCAGGGGATCCACTTGGAGAACTGCAATAATAACCATTATGAGACAGTTCTATGTGTCAATCAGCCTCAGTTGCAGAGCTGTTATGGCTTCTGCAAAAGGTTAACTTCTGCAAGCTACAATTTGAGGCAACGTAGTAAAGTGAAAGACGATAGAACACATCAACAACAGCATAGTAACGTGCAGAATGAAACATCCTCCTACTTGAAGAGGAAACAGAAATTACAAAAGAAAATGAAATATCACAACAATGAGTTGCATAGAGAGAAAATGAAGGGAATAAGTATAGGGAAATACGAGACAGATGAATTACATAGAGAGAAAGTGAAGGCATTTAGTAAAAGTAAGTACTGTGAAAATGAATTTCACAAGCAAAATGTAAAAGCCATGAGTACAAAGAAGTATAGCAATCCAGAGCATAAGAAGCTTGTTATAGCAGGTAACAAATTAAGGATGAAAATTCAGAGCAGTTTGATTTTGTGATGGAGCAGTTTTTGGAAAAAGTTAAAAATGGGCCAGATTTTGTGTTGTTTGTCATAGATTGTTGTTTAAACATCAGGTTGTACATTGTAAAATAGATGATTATAAAAACAGTACAGCAATTGCAGATGCATGTATAAGTGAAAAATATTTACACAAATGTAATAAGGATTGCGTAATGCCATGTCAATGGTTGGGTACAGCAAGAGGTCAGCTGTGGATTTGTTGCACTTGTCATTTTAAGATTAATAGAGGTGAAATGCCACCTGAATGTGCAATAAACAATTTGGCAGTTCATCCCATTCCGGCACAGTTGGAGTGTTTGAATAGCTTAGAACAACATTTGATTGCTTTGAATATACCATTTATGAAAATGTTGGCATTACCTAAAGGTGGTCAAAGTGGAGTACGTGGACCAGTGACATGTGTTCCAGCAAATATTGTGCAGACTAATAATTTACTTCCACGTTCTGACATGGAAGGATCTTTGTTGGCTGTTAAATTGAAGCGTAAACTAACATAAAAGGGGCATTATGAATATCAATTTGTTAACACTATGTGCATAAAGCAAGTGTTGCAATATTTAAAACAGACAACTGTACATTATAAAGATGTAGAGTTTAATGAAGCTTGGCTAAATGGGTTTAGTAGGGAACAAGATGAAGAGGTTTTAGGAAAGGAGAGTGAAACAAATGTAGAGAGTGGTGAAGCATCTACAGATGTTGGTGAAGATAAGCATTTGCATGATAGGCAGCAACATTGTATGTTTCAGGACACGTGTCTCATGCCTCTTGACATTGGTCAGGAAGTGCTTGATCAATATGTTGATGATGTTTTGAATGTGGCACCAGCAGAAGGGAGTAATCCTGTGAAATTGCTTTCTGATCATGAAAACGAAGCCAAATGCTTCCCACTGTTTCCACAGGGATGGTCCACATACCATGCTAGTAGACAGTATCGCTTGACATTGTCGCGTTATTTTAATAACAGGATTTTACATGTTGATGGTAGATTTTCACAAAATGTTGAGTACATCTTTTTTGCTCAGTACATGTCTGAGGTTGAACAAGTTGTGTCAAACGTATCCATAGCATTACGGAAAGGACAAGGAGGTAGTAAAGGTTAAAAGGTTAGCAATGATGTGTTGAACAATGAAGAGTCCTTAAAGAAGTTGTTGGAATTTGATAATGGCTATCGTTTTCTTAAACCTATTAGAGGTACCCCATCTTTTTGGCAGGGAGCACAGCGTGACTTGTTGGCTTGTGTTCGTCAGCTTGGTGTCCCTACATGGTTCTGTTCGTTTTCTTCTGCTGATATGCATTGGAAAAATCTTCTGTATAGTATTTTGAAACAGGAAGGTAGAACGCAGACAGTTGAGGATTTAGAATGGGCAGACAGATGTGACCTTTTACGTCGCAATCCCGTCACTGCAGCGAGTGTTTGATTTTCGCTGGCATTGTTTTTTTGAAGGCGGTACTCATGTCTCCATCTCATCCAATTGGGAAAATAAAGGACTACTTTTATAGGGTGGAATTCCAGCAACGTGGTTCACCACATGTCCACTGTCTATTTTGGATTGAGAATGCCCCATTAATTGATAAAAACACAGATGCTGAGGTAATTGAATTTGTTGATAAATACTTAACATGTGAATTACCATCACAAGATGAGCCCTTAAAAGACACTGTGACGTCTGTGCAACAGCATTCCAAGCAGCATTCAAAAACGTGTAAAAAGAATAAAACTGTTTGCCATTTCGGTTTTCCCAGGCCGGCATCAGCTCGAACATTTATATGTCGTGAAGACGATAAGAAAATGTGCACGTGTAAGGTAGATGACACCAATAGGACGGCACATTGTGAATGCAAGAATGAGGAGCAGGAAAAAACTGAGAAAATGAAGAGTATGCATCTAAAATTCTGACAGCAGTTAAGGAGGCTCTTTCAGATGAGCATGCTAGTTTTGCTTCTGTGGAAGAGTTGTTCAGACATTTAGGTATTAATCAAACTATCTTTGAGAAGGCATATAAGCGGTTCTGTAGGAAAACGCATGTTGTGTTAAAAAGGCAGGCCAATGAGGTTTGGATTAATCAATATAGCAAACCACTGTTAAAATGTTGGAATGCTAATATTGACATACAATATGTTGTTGATGCATGTGTAGTGTACATCATTTGTTATATTTCAAAGTCAGAAAAAGAGATGGGACTGTTGTTGGGGAATGCACAAAGGGAAGCAGCTAAGGAAGGAAATGCTAGTGCAAAAGATGCATTGAAGAACTTAGGGCGTGTGTATTTACACAACAGAGATGTGTGTGCTCAAGAGGCTGTATATAGGTTAACAAACATGCATCCGAAGGAATGTTCAAGGAAAGTTGTTTTTGTGCCAGTAGGGGATAATGTTGTTAAAATGAGTTTGCCTTTACGTGTTTTAAAACAAAAGGCAGCATCAGGTAATCTTACCACAGAAGACATGTGGATGCCGAGTGGTGTTGATAGATACAAGAATAGGCCAAACGATGGTAGTTTTAATGACATGTGTATTGTAACATTTGCATCAGAGTATCGTGTTCTGTCTAAAAACGAGAAGTCTGCAAATCGGATTAAACTAAACAATGATTTAGGTTTTGTTTTGAAAAGAACACGTTCACAACCTGCAGTTATGCGTTATGTGCACTTTTCAGAGACAAAAAACCCTGAACTTTTCTATCAGAGTATTCTGCAATTGTTTATGCTGTATCGTAAAGATGTGCAGCTCAAACCACCAGGTTTTGAGACGTATCAGCAGTTTTACAGTGGTGGTAGTGTGAGATTAGCTGATGGATTGCTACATTCGGTGAAGTCAGTTGTTGATTTGAATAGAAGTAAATTCGAACATGATGCAGATGAGTTGGATACTATCCAAAATGCAGCTGATAATGATGGTGTTTTAGAAGATGCCTGGTGTGAGCTGTGCCCAGAGCAAGAATTAGAGCATTTAGAGTGCAACCAGCTAGGCAGAGATGAGGAACAGGTACTGGATGAGCAGATAGAAAATATTCCTGATTTAGGAGTGAGTAGGGAGCAAGTTGCACATTTAGAAAAGAGAAATAACATCATGTGCAGGAGTGATGGTCTGGCATTACTTCGATCTCTTAATGAGCCACAGATGTGTATTTTCTATGAGATTAGAAATTGGTGTTTACAAAAGGTAATGGGGGGGGGGAGCCAGACCCATTACGTGTTTTCATTACAGGTGGTGCAGGGACAGGTAAAAGCCATTTAATAAAGGCTATTCAGTACGAGGCAATGAGGTTGTTGTCAACAATCTGTCGTCATCCTGATGACATTTGTGTTTTATTAACTGCTCCTACAGGGATAGCTGCATATAATTTACATGCAGCTACTATTCACAGCACATTTAGCATTGGGAAAGATGTACGCTTACCTTACACACCGTTGGGTGAAGAAAAGCTTAATTCTCTATGTGCTAAATATAGTGGCTTGCAGATTTTGATCATTGATGAACTCTCCATGGTTGATCATAAACTGTTAGCTTATATCCATGGAAGACTGCGACAGATTAAACAATCTGGTGATTCCCCATTTGGAAATGTTAGTGTGCTTGCTGTTGGAGATTTTTTCCAGTTGCCTCCAGTGAAGGGCAAACCCTGGTTTGTGGTCTAGCCTATTTAAAGTGGTGGAATTAAAAAGTATTGTTCGACAAAAAGATCATGTATTTGCCGAGTTGCTAAACCGACTAAGAATACGTTCAAAAGGGACCCCAATGCAAGACAATGACATTGAGATATTAAAGCGTTGTGAAACAGGTGAAGTTAGCTCAGCTTTACACATATTTCCTACAAATAGGCAAGTAAATGAGCATAATGTTGTGCAGCTTCTTAACACGTGTCCTGAACATGTACAGATAAATGCGCAGGACTTTGTAAATGGTCAGAAAACAGGCAAGCTTGAGTTGATGAAAGGACATCATGCCAAAGCATATGATACATGTTTGGCTGAAACACTGCTTTTGGGCGTAGATGCCCGTGTAATGTTGTGTAAGAATGTAAACTTAATGGATGGTCTGGTTAATGGGGTATGTGGCACCGTAACTCATATAGTGTATGGCAATGACAATAATACGTTTCCTCAAACTGTGTATGTCAAATTTGACGACAAAGAAGTTGGTGCACAGAGGACACGCTGTGGTAATGCGTCAGCAGTTGCAGTGGGTTCTACTGGTATTGAACCAGAAGAGGAAAGGGTAACTAAGAAAGGTGGATTGCGGCGTCAGTTCGCACTTAAACTTGCTTGGGCTTGTACAGTGCATAAAGTGCAAGGCCTTACTGTTGATAGTGCTGTAGTTTGTCTTAAAAAATATTTTCTGCAGGACAGGCATATGTGGCATTGAGTCGTGTCAGAAGTTTGTCCGGGTTGGTAATTCAAGATTTTGAAGATAAAACCATATATTGTAAGGACAACATTAAGGCTGCAATTCAGAGTATGGACCCATTCTTGATGAAAAATCCAATGAGCCACGTTTTGAATACACATACTTTTACTGTGTTTTTGATGAATGTGCAGAATTTGACTCGGCATGTATCAGATTTGGCATTGTGTACACAGCATTTGCGGCTTAACTGTATTGCTGTTACAGAAACATGGTTACCTGCTGATTCCTCATATCACTCTGTCAACATCAATGGTTATACATTTGATAGTTCTCCCTGAAGTTCGTCTTACAGCAGCAGCAACCCCGCATTGGTTGATTTGCAAGGCCAACAACATGGTGGTGTTGGCATGTATAGTGCATGCAGTTTGAAATTTAACATACTGAAAGTACCAGATGTAAATTTAGACTGTTTAGTGTACAACTGTCTACCTTACAACATACTTATAGCAGTTATTTACAGGCCACCATCTTATCCCATGGCTTTGTTTAAAGAATATCTAGGGAAGTTACTTGATTGGCTAGATCCAAGAAGTAACACAATTGCTGTTATGGGAGATTTTAATGATGACATTCGTAAATCATTAACAATCTGCAAATTTATTACAGACAAAGGTTATGTTCAGCTTGTCAAAACACCCACAACAGAGAGAGGCACATTAATTGATCATGTGTATGTTAAAACAACACTATCAAGTAGAATCAATAGTGTTACCAACATACTTTAGCGATCATGAGGGGATTGTATATTCTTTTCAATGTACAACTGATGACTTATAACAGCTGCAAGTTCAGCTGACTTGGCAACAGAGGTGAAGAGGTTTCTCGTAACCATAATTGGAAGCCACAAGCGGCTGAACTGGGAAAGCTGCAGTCATACAATTTAGACAGGGGTGTGGTTTAGATTTAAAAAAATCAAGGCATAGTTCAAAGATTTGTGTATTTGGATCATGTTTTATTTTATTTTGTGCATGTTTCCTATAGAAATGAGTAGTTGTATGTTTGCTGTGTTCTTTCCCCTCTGCTCTTCTCCCTGTACACAAACAGCTGCACCTCCAGTCACCAGTCTGTCAAGCTCCTGAAGTTTGCGGATGACACCACCCTCATTGGACTCATCTCTGGTGGGGATGAGTCCGCCTACAGGTGGGAGACTGACCATCTGGTGACCTGTTTGAACAACTTAGAGCTCAACGCTCTAAAGACAGTGGAGATGGTTGTGGATTTCAGGAAGAACGTAGCCCCACCTGCCCCTATTACCCTGTGTGACTCCCCCGTCGACGCTGTGGAGTCCTTCCGTTTCCTGGGCTCCATCATAACCCAGGACCTCAAGTGGCTAAGAAGGCCCAGCAGAGGATGTACTTCCTGAGGCAGCTGAAGAATTTCAACCTGCCAAAGACAATGATGGTGCACTTCTACACAGCCATCATTGAGTCCATCCTCTGCTCCTCCATCACAGTCTGGTACGCTGCAGCCACTGCCAAGGACAAGGACAGACTGCAGCGCATCATTCGCTCTGCCGCGAGGGTGATCGGCTGCAATCTGCCGTCCCTCCAGGACCTGTTCGCTTCAAGGACCCTGAAGCGAGCAATAAAGATTGTAGCCGACCCCTCTCACCCTGGACACAAACTATTCATGCCCCTTCCATCTAACAGGAGGCTGAGGTCCATCAGGACCAAGACCTCACGCCACATGAACAGTTTCTTCTTGTCGGCAGTCAGGCTCATTAACAGAGCCCGGGTCCCCCACTGACTCTGTCATCCCAAGGACAATTCCTTACCCTCCCTACTACTCCCCTGCACATAACTTCATATTTTAATACACTTGTCACTTTCACATTGCATTTGCATTACACTTGTTTAAAGTACTGTTATCTGTTTGTCTGTGCACTTTATTTTAAATTCTTCTATATGCTATTGTAAATTTGAATGTTTCTATTTCTTGCCCTGTTGATTGTTTCGAATGTTATGCACCATGACAAATTCCTTGTATGTGAAACATACATTGGTAATAAACGGTTCTGATTCAGATGTTTTTTAATGTAATGAATAAAATGCATAGTTCGAAGGTGGGTGTGGTATTGTTTTTTTCAAATCATTTGTGTCGAGTGTCTATTTTACACATGTTTGGAATTTTGTATGTTCTTTAATGTTTTGTTGAATGTAATAAATGAAAATATTCACTCAATAATTGTCTGTTTCATTTGCCAATGTTTTCTAAAAATAGTGCTTATTGCTTCCTACATTCAGTAATAACCTTCACATAGATATAATAGAACACATTAATTCCAATTCACATGGACATAAAATATCCATATACTTTCATGCATCTGTATAAATGTCTATCTTGTCAATAATATACATTTTCTGATGTTCAAGGCAGTATGACAGAAATAATATGAAAAATGATTTAGTACTTGAGAAAATAAAATTGGAAAATAAATGTCCCTTCCTGCGTCCACTAGAGAACACCGTAATTATGCACTATGTTGGCAACTGTAGCAAATGGATAGGCATTTCAAGCAAAAATACTATTCAATTTTCACTGGGAACTATTCAATCATTATTCAGCATTGATCCCCCACCACAGCAATTCCGAGCATGAGAGAGACGGTGGAGAAAAATAGTGTGTAGAGCTGGCACATTTTTCAATCAAACTTGATGATTTAAAGGTTTATTTCAAAACAATGTATAGAACAGTGGAAATAACACTTTTGGTGAGTTGTCATTTTTCTGTTTTCTACAGTGTGTTTAACAATGCTTCACAGCTGGTACACATGTCCAAGCAGAAACCAGTCGGCGTTCAATTCCACTGCATGGAGGAGTGACATATAATTTAGTGTTTCCACTATGTGGCACCAAAGAACACGCGCAAACATGCATCATGTTGCTCTACATCAAGTATAGACCATCAGATTCAGTTTGTCACATAACGCTGTCTTCCTGTTGCCAGTAGGTGGCGCTATGACTGAGTGAAAATTGGCTTGTAGACCTTCTCAAGCCATGACTGTTATCAAATATGGCAAGTTTGGGACATATTTGAGCAAGTCCAGTGGAGTTATATCAGCTTGTTGTTTAATGGCGAATCACCTACAATGGCCGCCACGTCACGGCTACGCCATTCTATCAAACGTAAAGCTTTGAGTAACTCTGAATTGCAAAGGTCTTTAGATTATACTGACCAAATTTGAAAAGGATCTGACAAAGTCTCTAGGAGGAGTTCGTTAAAGTATAGCGACTAGAAATCATGGGAATATTCACACAAAAATCAAAATGGCCGACTTCCTGTTCATTTTAGAGCATTATCCCAAGACACTTTTTTTTTAAGTCTTCATGTGATACATGTGCCTACCAAATTTCATACATGTAGGTCAAACGTAGTGCTGGGGCTGCGATTTTGAATATTTGTAGGGGGCGCTATCGAGGCAATTTGAAAGGGTCAAGCCAAAAAGCCATATGAAATATTTATTTCCATCACCTATGATACCTGTGCAAAGTTCCAAGGCTTGTTGAGCATCCTAAGTCACAGAAAAATAAGCTTTATTTTTCATGGCGAATGACGCGTTGCCACGGCAACAGCGTTTAACGACAACTCACAATATTCATGATGAAGCATTATCAATGTCTTACGGCTTAGCTTACCAAATTTGAGACTGATCTGTGCAACTTCCCAGTCGGAGTACATCAAAGTATGTCATTTACTTTTGCCAGTAGGTGGCGCTATGACTTTGTGAAAATGTTGCCATGGAAATGTGCTCAGGCCTGGACCAGCATCATGCATAACAATTGTGGGGCAGATTGAATAAAGTACCTTGGAGTTACAACAACTTCCTCTTTCATGGTGAACAGCACGAAATGTGCGTGACATGGGCGCCATATAAAACGAAGGTCGTTCAATGTCAGTAGACCATTTTAGTAACTTCATCATTAATGTCTTTAGATCATCTTGACCAAATTTGAAGTTGATCGTATAAATTCTGTGAGAGGAGTTCGTTAAAGTACAATGCCTGAAAACGATGACAAATGCCTAAAAATGCAAATAAATGGGAGTATTACTGCATCGCCCCCTAGTGGTTGTATGGAATGAAAATTTGAGGGCATGTTACAGGACACAATGTGAACATATGCTACAGATTTCGTGATGATAGGCCATATGGTTTTGAAGTTATATATATTGCTGTAGAAGGCCACGCCCTATGAAGTTCATTGGTCCATATATTCTTAATACAATGACATATCAATTAGCTTTTAGTAACTTTTGATTATATAGATCCAATAATGATCCACAGCAACTTTGGTACCAATCAGACCCAGCGTGTAGGAGGAGTTTGCCAAAATGTGTTTTTCACAAAATTCAAAATGGCGGAAAATTTTGGTAGGCGGAGCTTAGGTTTCTGATTGGCTTTTTTGTAGAGTAGGCGGAGCTGGACATGTGTCAAATTTCAAGTAAATCAGACATACTGGATGAGAGGCGGCGCAAGGCGTTGCCGGTCAGAATGCTAGGGGGCGCTAGCGAGCAATTTTGTCATGCTCGAGCATTAGACCCATAAAATATCAAATTTTCCCGCAGTCCTGATATGCTCACCAAATATTGGGGTGTTGGGGACATGATAAAGCCCCCAAAAAGGCGTTTCATTCGAGAGAATAATAATAATAATAATAATAATAATAATTCCTACAGTTTCAATAGGGACCTCCCGGCCTGACGTTGTCGGTGCTCGGACCCTAATAATAATAATAATCGAATAACAATAGGTCCTCCGCTCCGACTATGTCGGTGCTCGGGCCCTAATAAACATTAGAATAACAATAGGTCCTCCGCTCCGACTACGTCGGTGCTCGGGCCCTAATAAACATTAGAATAACAATAGGTCCTCCGCTCCGACTACGTCGGTGCTCGGGCCCTAATAAGAAAAAACATTCGAAAAACAATAGGTCCTCGCGGCCCGACGTTGTCGGCGCTCGGGCCCTAATAACATATTGCATACATACATTACATACACAGACTGTCGCCAGTCTACATACCTGCACACACAGTACCTACAGTACATGCAAAAGACTGCCACCAGCCAACAAATAAATTTCACACTGCCCGTTGTACAACGCACCAGTAGTGTATAGTTAAGATAATAAAAAATAAAAATAATTAAAGCTGCAAGCAGCATTGATCGGGCCCTCGCAACTTCACGCACGTCGAGGGGACTGGCAGGACTCTGGATGACGCGACCATGCATTTCTGTGACCATCATACACAGCGCCTGGAAATTGCAAAAACGACACTAGAAATTCATACAAAATTCAAAATGGCTGACTTCCGGTTGGGTTTAGAGCATAGACCCCTGAGACCTTTTTTTAAGTCTACATGTGATACATCTGCTTACCAAATTGTTTACATCTAGGTCAGGGCCGGCAGCCTCTCTGTTTAGCCTCTCTCCCGGGGGTTCCCAACTGGCGCACCGGATCCGGACCCAGGAACTAAAAACCGATAGATAATTCGGAATTATACATATTGGGCAGCGAGTTTAAACTTTAACCGGCGCGTCTTATTCAGCCATTACGGCACTTGTTCGGCGGTGCAGGAAACACACCGACCAATGCATTGTAAATCACATCACGTGATGCAGCTCAGCCAATCAAATATGGGTATTCTGACAAGTTTCCTGACTCGAGCGAGGTTTACACACACCGTGACACACGGGGCTGAGACGAGGAAATAGAAAGAAGAGCAGGGAAATTGCGCTAATCGAAGTAGTTATCTCACATGACTCTCTCCAAAAAGAGAAACGTGTTCAGAGAGAATATAATTTATAAGCAAGAATGAACAGAATCTTATATGTTAATTATTCCCACAGGCAGTTAAATCCTCTACCCCTGTCAAGCGCTTTTCCCTGCAGGTGGTTAATCATGATTTTCAGACCCCCGCCCTCTGTAAACTATCAATGGATATATCCAAAAAAAGAAAAGTCACAGAGGAAAATAGAGAGTTTGACTCTGCGTGGACGTCTTCATTTGCTTTCACTGCCAACGATGCTGGCTTACCTGTATGCTTCCAGAACAAGCACACAGCATT